CATATACGAAGATGGAAGGGGGGGAAAACCAATTAGTTTATGATTGAAATAGCTGCAGATTTTGATAAAATACAAGACCACCTTCTTTATCGCCTTCACCGATTTTTTCTCTGCTCCCTAAATTGTTACACTGATGCTTCCATTACCATCTTCTCATTCAATTCGATCGTACTCCACCAGTTATGTTACCATTGACACACTCACACTTCTTACGGTTTGTAAGTGCTGTAGTTGTGTCTCTTTACTTTTCAATATGAATAAAATTTGATTAAGAGTTAGAAATTTGGTTAGAGAAAGTTGATAAGATTCTATAGTGATTTATGGAAGAGGAATAGTTGTAACATTTTTTATTATTAGTGTGTAATGTCAAGACTTAGTGGGGGAATGTTATTAGTGGGTGGTTAAATAAAAATTCGATGGTATTAAATAGGGAGGTTATGAAAAATTAAGTATGTATATATCTTAATGTATGCATGTATGGATGTGCTAGAGAGAAAAATTAAGTATGTATATATCTTAATGTATGCATGTATGGATGTGCTAGAGATGTATGCATGTATGTATTTCGGAGGGTATTTTATATATCTTAATGTATGCATGTATGGATGTGCTAGAGATGTATGCATGTATGTATTTCGGAGGGTATTTTTGGAAGAAATATTTTAACATAGCAACACACTTTTATAATAGTATAGTATTAGATGATTGTTTCATTTAACTAGTATAATGCACGTGCTCTGCACGTGAACGTAAATGTTTTAAGTTTTAAATTGCTACAATAACATTACTTAAAAAGAAATGTATGAATTAATTATTATCATGTAGTTATTGTAATTGAAGGTTTTTCTTATAATGATTGCTCAATGCTAACCTTTTTTTATTAAGTCTGCCAAATCGATAATTGTTCTTAAATAAGTCTACAAAATCTATAATTTCTCTTAAATATGTCCCTCTAACTTGAAATTTGTTAACTTAACTCTAAATTAACTAAGCTGCATTGATCTTGCTAGATTTTCCTGATGTTTCCTAGAGAGTTACACTTAATACCAGCAACATATTGCGATAATTACTTCTCATTATAATTATTTAATAGGATGAATTACACTAATCCCTTATAAACTTTCAGCCCCCTACGTTTCAAAATCACACTAAAGCCCTAATAACATTTCTATTTCAAAGAAACCCCCAATAATTTTTAAAATTTTGCATATAACCCTGTAAATTACAGTTAGAAAATGCCATAAAAAGGCATTTTAAAAGTTATTGGGTTTGGTGTAATTTATTTAAAAGACATTGGGTGCTTTCTGTAAAAGTTATTAGAGGAGTTTGAAAGTTCATAGAGTCTATTTACTACAAAATGCTGAAAGTTCAAGGGGTTTACTGTAATGTACCTTATTTAATATTATAGTTTTTAGTTTAAGTAATACAATTTAAAATAATTATACTATCTATATACTATAAAATGTTTATCTTATTTAATTTTTTAATTATGCTCTTAAATAATTTAGTACTATAAAAACTTTATAAATTATTATTATATTATCATTACCAATTAATAATACTATTATTAATATTGAATATAGTTTTTGTAAAAAGGTTAGGTTTCAATCATTACTAAGTACAAATTATTTAATATAATGTAATAATCTTTAAGAAAATATTCTTAAAATAATATTAAATATTTATTTAATTTATTTAATAATATAATACTAAATAAGTAGAGTAATTCATAATTTATGCAATGTTATTAAAATAATTACACCATTTATGTTATTAAACATCTATTCTATTTATTTTATTGCTAATTAAATTATAGTATAATTATTAATAATATTTAGTAATATCTTATTTTATGTATACTAGTATTTTAATTATTTTATTATAATTTATAAATAATAATACTTATTATTTAAGTGTTACTATTAATAATTGTGCATACTTATTTTATAATTATATTATATTATTAAACAACTAATAGTTATAATATTATTGATAATTATAATTATTTAGGAAGGTGAGGAGGTGTATAATTAATAAGTGGTTATATCTATTTAATGAAAAATTAGTTAGAGATAATAGTATTCTTAGAATTTATTAATATTTAAGAGGGCAAATGAAGAAATTAAAAGTTTTAAAACCTTAATCCTTTTTTTATAGTAGTATAATAATGTAATATAAATATATATTTAAGAAAAAAAGAAATCTATACTGAGAGTCCTTTTGCCTTTACTCCTCATACACTTCAAGCATGAGCATGTTGCACATAATTT